GAGAGAGAGAGAGAGAGAGAGAGATTGGAACTCCAGTAGCAGTATTTTTTTTAGTAGCAGTATTTTGGACGTACCCTTGTATACTGTGAACTTCCAGAGAGACAAACAAATTCATTTAAGAAGAAATACCGTCTGTGTGCTCCTTAGAAGAAAGGATGGGGAGACTTGGACCCATCACCAGAAAAGGCCAATGACTAGACCAAGACATCGCGTTTGGTAAAGCAGAGGCTCCGCAGGAACGAGGACACTCCCCGAGGCACCCTCCACCACGGACTCAAACAGGGAGAGTGCAGGATCAGGCAACACTTCACTCTGTCCTACACAAGCTCGCCACGGGCCTGAGCTGACCGGATGACAGCTGACAGTAGGACATTGCTGGTCTAGATTGACGATGTCCTATTGTTGCATCTCCCATTAGACGTTCTTACTTGATATTTTCCCCTTTGGCCTTGTTGTTCCACTTTCTTCGTCTAGCGGTTTCTAGTTCTTCCTCTATGCCTACCCCTCTAGTTGTTACCCTGCAGCTTCACTGCCAGCACTGTGAGTCCACCTGGGTGCTCAGCCTCTATGGCTGACTGGCACCTGATTCTTCTTCCCAAGCAAGATGGGACTTTCCTGAAACTCTGCCTTCAGAAGACCCCCAGGTGCTTACATTCTAGGATGATATTAAGCTTTGTTTCACAGTGTTGTCGTTCGTGGCCATTGAGTGGACTCCGACTCAGAAGAAACGTTGCCTGGTCCTGCACCCTATTCACGGTTGTTGGTGTGCCTGAATCCCTGCTTTACAGAGAGCCTCAACAAGTGTGTGAGAAGCAGCAAGCATGTTAATTGTGTACTTGCTGAGCACAGGAAGATGGTTTTTAGAGTTTGTATATGTGCCTGTATATGTTTTGTTTGGAAACATTTCTTCAGAAAAGACATACAGGTAGCACATTTCCTGTATTGCATTCCTAAAATGCTTTATTGAACGCTGCCACTGGGTGCTAGTTTGGTTGGGTATAGGACGCTAGAAACAAACCAAGTAACTCCAGAGACGTCTTTTTCTCTCCTCTGGGGAAGCCCAGAGTCCATTTGTTTTTTCTTTCTTGGCAGGGAACTTGTTGTTTTTAATTATGCTGGTTTTAAAGATTGTCCCTCAACCTTTGTTACTGGGGAATTCTATGGTGGGAGAGCTAGGATTGCGTTGCGGTTGTCGTTGAACTTCATGGCGGCAGTGTTCTCCTGTCGTTCTGATACGGTCTTCTTGCAGGGAGAATCTTTTCTATAACAGCTGTTGCTCTAGGTACTGGGAAACACGGCGAGGACACAGGTGAAGCCTGGCACAGCCCCCGCTTCCTCTACATTCTGCCCTTCGAGGCCCGGCTTCTGTGCCCTCTCATCCAGGAAGTCTCCCCAGATTCCCCTGCTAGGATACTCCCTCTCCTCTTCTACTGCTGATCCTTGTGGAGGCTCTCAGCTGGTCACTCATCGCTGCTCAGAGTCTGAGGCCTTCAGGGGATGGGAGTGGGTACTCATCATTGTTCCCCACAAACTTTGACCCCCAGCTAGACAGTGCTGAACAACCAGGTGATACTGAAGGAATCCAGGAGCAGAGGCACCCTACCTGGCTGTCTGAAAAAAACAAGCAGTGGCTCATTTATTTCCTATGCCCCCCATACCCAGGCTGCTGCAGCACACACAGCACAGCACAGTGGTCAGGAGCCTTCTCAGAGCCCAGCCCTCCCAGATTCCTGCCAATGGGCCTAAGCTGTCCCTTAGCCCCATTTCCCTTATCTACAGGGTGCTGACCATGTTTTCTGGAAGCTGAGACCAGAACAAGCAACCTCAGACAGATGCAGTCCTGGGCCCATCCGGGATGCTCCAGGAGCAGGCCCAGCTCACCACCTGGTGCTCTGAGCTGTCACCCCAACCTGGAGTCCCACCCCAACTCAATGTTCCAAAGCAGTGCCTGGATACAGTGCCCTATGAGCTGGTGCCCTGACTGACCCAGCACCCAGATCCACTCTCTAGCCCAGAAGCCTGAATTGGCACACCCATCTGACACTACCTGATACAGGTCTCTAGCCCAACCCGTTAGCTGACCTGCCACCCCGATCCTGTGTTCAGACACAATACCCTGACCTACCACCCCACCCCAGGGCCTGACCCCAGGGCCCGGATCCAGCTTTCAGTAACCCCGACTGGAGAAAGAGCTTCTTCCTTGGGTGTGAGCCAAGTGGCCTCCCTGACTACCCAAGCACAGCACAGCCTCTCCTCAGTGCCTCCTCCAGCACAGACCTATCCAGAGAGCCTGTGGGATTCTGGAGACTGGGACCTAGAGGCAGGGGCTCAGCCCAGAGGGTAAGCTGAAACACATGGCCCCCACCCCTCACTCCAGTTCCATGTGACTCTGAATGTAACCCAGGACTTGAGGTTGCAGGTGGCCCCTGGCCTGTACCAGCTTGGATGGCCAGTGTGAGAGCCATCAAACCACTGCCCCAGGGTCACCCAGTGTGCTACAGGGTGCTGCCAAGAGGTGCCAGCCCTGGACCACTCCTAGACCCCTGAGTCAGAACCATCTTCATTCGGCTCTTGTTCTCAAAGGGTAGTGAAAGGGAGAGGAGGGAGGCTAAGTGTCCAGCGGGGTATCTGGGCAGCTGGTGGTGGGCAGACACAGCTCTAGGTCAGGTGAGAGACCTTAGCACCTACAGGGGAAGTGTCAGCCTCTCTGAGTCAGGGGGCTGGGGAAGTGGGGCATGAGGATGCCCAAGATCCTGTCGGTGGGCCATGAGTGATGCTGGATGCCAGGCTGGGGAAACTGAGGCAGACTGAACAGCAGAGCAGAAATCATGAGTTAGGGACTGCTCGGAGGAGGCACCCACTGGCCACAGAAGCTCAGCCCTTGGTGGGAGAGAGGTTTGGGGACCCAGAGACAGCGACCCTTGGGCCCCAGCCCTATGCTATAAGCCCCTCCCCGTCACAGCATCAATAATCAGGACCTTTGGGAAGCGCAGGCTGGCAGGTGAGAGCAGATTTAATGTTGGATCCTTGGGACACTCTCCGTCCTGGTGGCGCCAGGCGGTTATGCTGACATGTGGCCCTGTGGGAGGTGACAGAGCGGAAGGGCCTGGGGCATCAAGGTTGTCACTCTGCTGTGTGTCAGCACCTCCCAGAGCACAGGTGCCACAGGTAGAGGGACACAGTAGAGATTCTGGGGCAGACTTTGCAGTAGGCTGGGTTTGGCCCCGCCACCTGCCCATCTGCCCCATAGGGCTCAACTGGCTCTCTCACAGCACCCAGCGGCACCCAGGGGCCACGCCAGACCCTCCAAGATCAGGTGGCAGAGGAGGAAACCCAGACTGGGCCTTGGTGGAGGAGCTGCTGGAGATGATGTGACCAGGACATGAATCCGCTCCAGGCCCAGCCCCAAACTGGCTGGCTGCCTGGGCCCTGGTGCCCCTCAACTCTGGGGACTGCTGTGTGTCCCCTTGCAGTTGGGCCCTCCTCACTTCACAAGCTGGCCACCGGCCCCAGGAGCCACCACTCAGGGCAGAGATCAAGGGGTGGGCCCGGCATCCAGGCAGCAGAGAGCCCATGGACCATCACTGGGCTGGCCTCCCTGCCAACCGCCGCTGCTGTGGTCCCGGTCAGTAGTTAGCTCCAAGGAGAGCAGCCACCTTCTGGACGATGGTCTTGTGGTTGGCGTAGAGTGGGATGCATCTGTCTACCACCTGCCAGGTGAAGGACATCTTGTTGTCCACGCAGTCCGGTTCCTGGAAAGACAAGGGGAGTCTGACCCACTGCCACCCTGTCCCCCCAAACAAAAAACAAAGGCACTGCCATCGAGCCAATGGTCACTCAAAGCTAAGGCGACCAGATTTAAAGTGGGACACCATTGACCGGGGGGGCAGGGAGGGGCAGGGGTTCTTGATTAAAAATTTGGTCTATATGGACCAAATAGACCATTCCCTAGCTTGTCATGCATTTTTTCAAAAATCGGGACTTTTTTAAAATGCCAAAAAGCGGGACGTCTGGTCACCTTACTCAAAGCGACCCTATAAGACAGGGTAGAACTGCCCCTGGTTGTTTCTGAGGCTCTAAGTCAGCGGTTCTCAACCTGTGGGTTGCAACCCCTTTGGGAGTCGAATGACCCTTTCACAGGGGTCACCCTATTCCTAACGGTAGCAAAATGACAGTTTTGAAGTAGCAATGAAAATGTATGGTTGGGGGTCACCACAACATGAGGAACTGCATTAAAGGGTCGTGGCATTAGGAAGGTTGGGAACCACTGCTCTGTTCACGGGAATAGAAAACCCTGTCTCTTTCTCCCAAGGAGCAGCTGGTGGATTTAAACTGCCGACCTCGCGGATCATAGCCCAACTTGTCACTGCCACACCACCAGGGCTGGGGCCGGCTCACTGTGTTCCTCCAGAGCAGTGTTTCCTAAAGTGGGCAAGACCAACTCCTGGGAGAGGGCCCTGCCCTGGAATTGATGCTGGTTCACAGGGTAGAACTGCCCCCTGTGAGTTTCTGAGGCCGTAACTCTTTATAGGAGAAGAAAGAAAGCCCTGTCTTTATCCCTCGGAGCAGCTAGTGGGTTCAAACTGCTGACCTTGTGGATCTTAGCACATAACCACTCTGACACCAGGGCTCCTTGGAAAAGCAGACACCTGCACTTCCTCCTGGATTGTGGCTATATAGCACATACATTTTTTAATGGCTGGGGAGTGGGGTGCTAAGTAATGTTTTTCTTTTCTGAAAAGAGGGCAGTGGCCTAATAAATTTGGGAACCTACCATACATACTCGAGTATAAGCCAACCCGAATATCAGCCACGGCACCTAATTTTACCATAAAAACGGCATTAAAAGTGTGCTGGAAAAACTCAGCTTATACACGAGTATATGCGGTTTGTTCCTGAAGACAAGAATGAGGACAGTGATGGCAGGTGTAAATCAGCTAACGCCTGCAGGGGGGGCTGAGCACCCTTGCAGGAGGACAGAGAGGCAGCTGCGGCTGTCCTGGGTGCCGGCTTGGCCCTGCCCACAGAGTCTGGGTTTTGTCCTGGGCCTTTTCCATGGCAGCTCTGGGTTAGGTTAGGAGTATGGAAAATTGGGACAACTAGCTCCTAAAGATGCTTACAGACCAAGAGGGGAGAGGCCTTGCCAGCACCCTCAGACATGACCCCCGAGGCCATCCCAGAAGAACCTTGGATCATAGAACAGCAGGGGAGTCTATCTCCCAACCCTGGCTCAGCTCCAGCCACCTCCTTTGACTTGCTGGCCACTCTTCGGCCTCCCTCCTCTGACAGGACTCTGACCTCCTGTAGCCACCCTCGCCAGCCCACTGGTCCTGGCCCAACCAGACCCCACCCCTGGCAGCCCCAAGGCATCTGAGGAGCAAGCTAGGACCCCATGTCCCATGCCCGCACCCCCTGGGTCCCCATCCTCAGCGCCTTACAGATTTCAGGCTCTCCAGCTCCACATCATTCTGGTCCCTGAAGTGGATGCTGATGGCCACTGTTTCGATCCAGGCATTGTCTGTGTTCCTTGGGTCATCCATGTAACCCTTGTACACCTGGAAAGTGAAGCAGGGATGAGGCAGTCCGCCCCAAATCCACCGGTCCCACTACAAGGAGCCGGAGGTCCAGAGAGAGCCTGCATGTTCCCCACAGGATCCGCTCCCAGCCCAGCTCCCAGCTGTCTCACCGCCGGGGCCAGCCTGCCCGGGCTGCCCCACGGAGCCTCCTGTGGGCTTCACGGCACAGGGACTCCCATCCCTGCTTCCATGGGTGCCTGAGGCCCTGGGAGATTAAGCCCTCTCCTGACTGTCCTTAAAGCACTTCCAGGGCCCTATGAGTGGTACCAGAGTGATGGAGGTGTCCCTAAGAGACTGCCCAGCCTAAACGACACACAATTACTGGGTTTGCAGATCAAACGTGTCAAATATCAGCAAGGCCACCCCTTTGCCTGTTATCCAACCACTGAAATGTCCACCAGAGGACGGGGGTTGAATCGTGGCACAGCCGTCCTCCAAATGCCATCTAGTTGTCCGTGCAGACCCTCCAGAAGTTGGACGAGAAAGCACGTGATGGGTCAATGTGCACAAGGCCATCCGTGTTGGTAAAGAGTGTGTTATTGAATAGCTCTCTATCTCTCTTTATAATAAAATTCATAGCATTTATAGAAAAGACAACAAGAAGAACCAGAAAAGGCCTCTGTAAAAGTTCAGGTGCATAGAGAACACCTGGCTGTCCCAGGGCCCAGGCTGTGCAGCCCCTTCCAGCCCAGAGGAGAGGAAGGTGGACCAGCCGCAGACCCCTTAGGGACCCTGTCCTGCAGAAGCTGAGTCAGTGTGCTGATCAAGAGTGGGAGCTGGAGGAAGGTTGTGTGCAGGTGTTCCAGGGTGGGCTGGAACATGCAGGATTCTCACCCCCATGGGGTTTCAGGGTCCAGCCCAGAGCAGCGGAAACCAGGAATGTCCGAGTTATGGAGAGGGAGGACAAGCCGCCAAACCTAGCACCCTGGTCCCTGTTCTTTCCAGCCCTAGGGAGTCCCGGGATGCAGAGTGTGGGCCAGGAGCTGGGAGCAGAGAACAGGAGCACCCTACCTCCCCACCCTGCTTCAGCAGGCTTTCAAAGGAAGGCCAGAACTCCGGCCGCAAGATCCGTTTCAGCTTCCGGGGCAGCGTCTCTCCCGGTTCTCTGGAGCCCTGAGCAGAAGGATAGAGGCAAGTCAGCTGGGCTCAGCCCTGACCCACTGCACCTGTCGCACCCCACACCCACCCCAACCTGCTACCATGGCCCTAGGACTGCCTCCACTGCACTGCCTCCAAGCACCCAAGGCGATTGCTCAGACCACGTGACCGTATCCAGGTCGGCACTGAAAGGCCCCGCCATGACCCGAGCAGCATGAGGCCAGGGAGGGTGTGCAGGGACAGCGAAGCAGGCCCCCTGCAAGGCCCTGCTCTTGGATGCATCCTCCCCAACCCACCTCCACCTGGTAGACTGCCAGCTTCCACTCTCACCCTCCGCGCCTGCTGGGCCCTTCGCCGCAATCCCCAGGGCCCACGTGTCCTTCTGAGCCCCTGTTGAGCCCCTCAGTTTCTCCAGGGCCCTGAGGTCCTGTCACGGCTCAGACTGCCTGGGCCTCCTGAGACTTCTGATCCGGGCCTCCCCCAGTCTCTCCCCCTGTGTGCATGCGCAGGAGGCCTGGCCATGTGTGTTGGGGAGAGCCTGCTGCCTGATCCAGAAGGGGCAAGACCCAGACGGAGGCTGGCAGGCATGTCCAAATGCAGGAGCAAGAGAGGGCATGCCCACGTGGCCTAGTGCAGGAGGGAAGCTCTGGTGTGAGGGAACCCCTCAGGCTGCCTCCTTGGCTGGGAGAAAGGATGGTAGGTCTGAAGAGATCAGGTACTGCTCAGAGCAGAAGCGGCAGGTGTACAGCAGCTGGGCCTCACCTGAATGTCACCTCACCTGTGCCCACCCTGCTGATGTGTCTCAGCCCATCTGGGGGCCTGCTGACACGTGGCCACCTGGTTCCTGCAGGACTATGGTGGGGCCCCACCTCTGGGAACAGGCTCAATGGAGACACCAGGCAACAGGGCTATGTCCCAGCTTGGTGGGGGGTGTGGTGGGGGGGAGGGCTGGGCTGCCTGGGCCCCAAGACCTCTGAGAGCCTGTCCTGACTCTTCAGGAGCTGGCCTGGGTGCAGAGAACCCACAGTTTGGAGTCACTTCCCACAGGAACAAAGAGCCCCGGGCTGCTCCCAGAACTCTCTGCTCCCAACACATTTTGTCTCGGCAACTCCGTGTGGATCACTATGAGTTGGAATCCCCTGGATGGCACTGGGTTTCCTTTGGGGTTTTCTGACAAGAACAGCCCAGAACCTTCCGTAGCCTGATTCAGTCATCTCCACAAGGCCTCTGCGGTCCACACTCTGGCCTGCCCACCCAGGCCCTCCTCCCCCAGCCTAGCATCTCCCTCCTGTCTCTAGGGCTCCGCTCAGGTCCCATCAGTGGAGGGAGGGAAGGTGTGTGCCCAGTGCCTCCCACACAAGGACTGGTTTTGCAGCAGGTACTTTAAACAACATCACTCACAGCGGCTCTCCAGGACAGAGCAGAGCCACCTGACAGGGCTCCCATGGCTGTCGCCTTTGAGGAAGCAGACTGCCTCAGCGTCCTCCACAGGGGCTGGTGGCGCCCGACCTCCCTTCTCCCCGCTTAACCACTGTACCACCAGGGCTCCCCTAGCACGTGTTCAGCTGAGGCTTGTTCGTCCAAGAACAGCAGGGCCTCTGGCTTCTCAAATGTAGAATGAGAAGGGAACCCTGGCCCAGCCCAGCATCCGCTAAGATTCAGGCCTAGGAGGGGTCACACTGTCTCAGCCTCCCCACTGTGTCTGGGCTGGGCTGCAGGGGGCCGTTGGTAGACTGGAGAGAGGATGAGAGACCAAGCAAGCTGATCGGAGCTGTCCAGCACTGGGTTGGCGGGGACTCACCCCTGGCAGCGCGCAGTACTCCGACGGCGATTGCTGCACCACCAGCACCTCCAGCACCTTCTTGATGCTCTTCCTGCAGATGGTCCCGTCCTCCTTCCGCTGCCACCTGCAGGCCAGAAAGGCTCATCTCTTTCTCCACGGAATCTGGAGCGGCACCCCTGCCCACCCCTGCACCCTGCCTTCCCTTGGGGGGGTGGGGTTAAACAGCCACTCACTGCTAGCTCAACCCTTCCCTCTCATATCAAGACTCCAACCCTGGAAAGGGCTGAAATAAAGCGGCGCCCACTCCCTACAGTACAGACTGCAAGGTGGCCCGGTTTCTTTTGGAGAACTTAAAAAACCAAGTCTTTCGAGGAACACATGCCCTGGAACTCACTACCTACTTGTATGACCTTGTCAGAATGCCGGAGTGTGCCCACAGCAACGGGCAGCCTGGCTGGGCCATCCCTCAAGGACGGGCATGCGTCTACACCCAGCAGAGAAGGCTGCCTGAGGACTGGGAGGGATGAGCCATGGCAATAAGAAGTGATGTGTGTGGAGTGGATGGTGGGTATGTGTATGAATGTCTGTCTGTGTGCGCGTAGATGTGTGGATATGCACGATATGTATGCTAGATGAAATATGTGTATACGTATGTGTTTGTATGGCATTTGAATTGTGGTGCTGGAGAAGAATACTGACAGTACTGTGCGCTGCTGCAAGGACAAACAGATCTGTGTTGGGAGAAGTAAGGCCAGCGTGCTCCTTAGAGGCCAGGATGGCAAGACTTCATCTTACATCATTTGGCCATGTGGCCAGGGGACACTGGTTCCTGGAGAAGGACATTATGTTGGGTAAGGTAGAGGGACAGTGGAAAAGAGGACGGGCCTCCAGGAGCTGGGTGGACACTGTGTTACAACAATGGGCTCAAGCAGGGGGACAGTTGTGAGGCTGTCTCAGGACTGAGCAGTGTTTCATCCTATTGTGCATACATGGTTGCTATGGGTCAGAACAAACTCAATGACACGTCACAGCAATCACATGTGTGTGTATGAATGTGTGTTCACATGTATGTAGGTGTGCATGCAGAGGTGCGTAGAAGGATGCGGATGTGGATATATGTGTGTGGGCATGTGTGTACTTGCATAGGTAAATGTGCAGTCAAAGTGTGGATGTGGGTAAGGATAGATGTGCATTGGCGGTGTGAATGTGTGTGTACTTCGTGGAATGGTCTAATTTTCTCCTTTAATCTTGTGGTTGTCGCTGTTGTTTTGCCCTTGGTCCCAGCAGGATGCACTAACAAAGGTCACAGGTCTGGCCTGGCCTTTCTCCCGGGCCGTTCTCACCTATGTGCCAAGGCTTGTCTCTGTCCACCCACGGGCCCACCCCACAGATACATGCCGAGATATGGGCTCACTGCAGGGGCACCCTCTCAGTACCCAAGGAGAGCCTGCTGAAGGTGGGAGTGGCACCTGGTGCATCTGGTGGGGACTCACCGGGTGACAACCGGGTGCAGCGCGTGGTTGGGCCCGAAGTAGCTGAGGCTCCCACGTCCACGTAGCCCCGTGCGGCCCATGGGGTTCCTACGGGAAGAAGGTTGGCTCAACCCCCCTCCACTGAGGGGTGAATAAGCAGAGCTGGTGGGGGTGGGAATGGGGGAATAGGAACAGTGGGCTCTGGGACTGTGGCTGAAGGTGGTGGGGTGGGGATGGGGGGTCTCCAACTCTCAGAACACAAGCAATTGCCTCCCCATGAAACGAGGCCACAGGTGCTTGGTCACCATCCTGTGCCACCACCCCAATCTCAGTGGCTGGGCCCCTGGGCCTACCAGGTTAGTAGAAAAGGCAGGGATCTCTGTCGGGGGTGGAAATGGCCATCTCTTCCCATGAAGCTTCCCACAAACACCACAAGTGCACTGTGAGGTACCCCACTCTGAAAGCCTAGTGAGAGGCTGGTCAGAGGCCCAATGGCCAGAGGGACCCCACCTGGCACTGGGGCCACAGCAGTGATCACTCGGCTCACAGCCCATGTGGGAGGGCCAGGCATCAGCACAATCTTGTCTATACCCCCACTAACCCTGTTAGTGGACAGAGGAGAGCCCAGGCATTTCTTTCAATGAAGCTGCGGTCCCCACCTCCCTTTCATATCAGCAGGTCCTATTAAAAACACCACCTTCTGGGCAGAGCTCATGAGAAGCCAACACCCATGTGAAGGCATGAGGGGAAAAACGCATCAGAAATGTTAACGATATGAGACGTCTATCCCAAACACCAGTCTGTTCTCTGTGCCCCTTCCCAGCCCCTTGTAGAAGATGAAGTTGGACCAACCTCATATACGAAATGAACTCAGAGCGCATCAGTGACCTGACTCTTAGAGGCAGGCATAGGTGTAAGTCTCTCCTAGGGGAATTGGTTCTTAGCTCTCAGACCCAGAGTATAAATGACAGTAGCAACAGAAGCATTTTTGTGAGTCAAAGGACTTAATTTTTAGGAGTAAGATGATAACCTGCAGAATGGTAACAATATTTGAAAAGTATTTAACTGATAAAGGTCGGACATCCAAAATATGCAGAGAGCATATACAATTCAAGAACAATAAGACAGACAACCCGGTCAAAAAAAACTGTAAATAAGACTGCAGTAGATCTTTCTCCAAAGAAGATATGGACCAATGGCCGGTCAGCACAGCACAAGATGCTCTGCATCATTGGTCTTAAAAACACAAACCCACGACCATGAAGGTTGAGTGGATGCTGAGTCACAGTGACCCTGTAGGGCCCCAGAGAACTGCCTCAAAGCATCTCCAAGACGAATCTTTATGAAGGCAGACTGCCAGCTCGTCCTCCTGGGGAGCAGCTAGCAGGTTTGAATTTGCGACGTTTTTATTAGTAGCTGAGCACTTCACAAGTCAAAGCCACCATGGGCTGCCCCATCACACCCACCACGAAGGCTAGGATCAGAGAAAGGGTCAAGGACACATGGGGAGCATGTGTGCAAACAGAAGCGCTTTGTCCATCACTGATGGGAATGTCAGATGGTTCAGCTCCTCAAAATGTCACATGTAAAACGACCATGTCCTTCAACAACTACTCCTGGGCGTGCACCCAAAGAGTGGACATCAGGGACTCAGTTATGTAGACACCAATGCTCGTGGCAGCATTGTCCACAACAGCCAAAGAGTGGAGACAACGCAATCATGCATCCATACGGACCTGCCCCATCAAGAAGAATGAAGCTCTGATCCAGATGACAACATGGGTGAACCTTGGAAACCTCATCCTGAGGGAAATAAGCCAGGCACACAAGGACAAACATGGAATGATCCCCTTTGCGTCAAGTGTCTAGAGGGGACCAATGCTTAGACCTTGCTTGGGAGTTGCTGTGGGCTCGCGGGGAGAGGGCGTGTCCGTAGAGCAGAGTTCATGGAGCGACAAGTGTCTGGAGACAGCAGGGGTGATGGTGGCAATGTATCGTGAACATGATTGATGTCATCGGATTGTACAGTAGAAAGGCAAATTTTGTGTTGTGTATATTTCACCACGATTTTTTTAAAAACTTATGAAAAAGGAGAATGGGGGGAAAAACTGGAGCAAAATCTACTCTTTCTAGGAACTTTCCTCTCATGGTGCAGAGAAGTGGGGCCATGACTGGGGGAGGAGGGATGGGGCAAAGGGAAGGTGGGATGAGTATAATACTTGGTGCTGATGGGATCGAGAGAGGAGGAACCCTGGCGATGCAGGGGGAGGGGCACCGCGTGTGGTGCTAAGTCCTTGAGAAGGTGGAAGGGGGCAAGACCCAATGTGGAGATGTAGAGGAAAGTGGACGGGCTGGCCTTGGGAGAGTGGCTGGTCCCTCCCCCAGCAGAAAAGTCACCACAGCGCATGCGCGAGAAGAAGCACGCTGGCAGAGGAAGCAGGGAGGGCTGCTGCAGCAGGCCAGCGGAGAAACGGAGGAGCTCACGTCACCAAGAACTTTTCGGTCAATTTCAAGAATCAGTAGGATGCAGATCACACTGAGCAAGCGCCATAGAACAAGAAGGCAATAGTAATAAAATGACTGAAACATTTAAAAATATATTTTAAAGTTATGCAACTGCTAAAAAGTAAAAGTTTATAAACTGAAAAAGTTAAGAGTCCTACAACTTGAGAAATTTCAACCTATCAGACCTTAGAGAGAAATTTATAGTTTCAGATGCTTTTTTTTTTAAGAAAAGGCGAAATATTGAAGATAAGTCTGCTACCTCATTCAAGTCAGGAGAAAACTCAAAAGAGAAGGGAGCGAGAGGTAAGAAGGAAGGAAGCCCATAAAGGGAAAAAGGGAAACGAAAAAGACCACTCAACAAAACCAAAACCCAGTTCTTTGAAAAGATCATAAACGTAGCCTCTGTAATTGGTTCCCCCTAAGGATCTACATATAACCTCCTCTCAGGGACGGGCAACAGAAAAGTGGGTGAAGAGAGACGTCGGATGGTGTAAGATATGACAAAATAATAATAATTTATAAATTATCAAGGGTTCATGGGGGGGGGCGGGAAAAATGAGGAGCTGATACCAAGGACTCAAGTAGAAAACAAATGTTTTGAGAATGATGACGGCAACGAATGCACAAATGTGCTTGACACAATGAATGTGTGTATGGATTGTGATAAGAGTTGTATGAGCCCAAATAAAATGGTTAAAAAAGAAGGGCAAATGTTTTGAGATTGATGAGGGCAACAAATGTACATATGTGCTTGACACAATGGATGGATGTATGAACTGTGATAAGAATTGTACAAGCCCTCAATAAAATAATTTTAAAAACTTACTTGGGCTTGCTGATCTATGGAAATGGAGCTTAGTGCCTTTGGATTAGATTTACTGACCTTTGGACTAGGTTTGCTGCAGATTGGGGAGCCTAGTGGGCATTTATCAGCAACACTAAAAGAGTTGTTTAACATTGCCTAAACAGGCCAGAGGCCTAAAGATGTGGCTAAGAGGCTAAGAACCTCTCAAGTTCCAAGACCTGCCTGTGAGCACAGCTGAGTAAATGTGCTGCTCAAAGAACTGTATTCTGAACATTTCAGATTGTGAATTGTAACCTGTTAACTTCCCATAATCATCAGTCTATTGCAACGAATTATTGTATTGAACCTCGCTGATCTCTGCTAGAGTGCCGTGTGGGGAGCTGAGGGTAATGTCAGCATTGGCAAGAGGGGTGGAAGCACGTGTGGTGGACGGCTCACAGGAGCTGACGGTAGTTTTCTTCCCCCTCCTGGGGAAGGTCGAGGAGGTCCGTGTCTGGTCCTCTACAGTGTGAATGTACCAGTAGCAATTTAAAAATAAAGCTCGTGTTGTTATTGGTGCACACATGTTTAGGAATGTGGTGTCATACTGCCTGACCTCTTAAAGAAATGTATCTCTAGTCATCTTTGTCGAGATCTTAAACATAAAGAGCCTTTTTATGTTAAGAAAGATTAATAAAAGTAGCCTCTGGCAAGAGCAGTGAAGGAGGATCACAGACGCACATAATCGATCTCAGTACGCAAAAGAGGAAGGCTACAGGATAGTTCGAGATTCCGAGTTTTAAAACATGAATTCCTACAACACAATCGGAAAAGCTAGAAGAACCGGATGATTTTCCAGGAAAACCTTACAATGACTGAACGGGACCTACAAAGCACAGGAAAACCTGATTCCACAAGCATTTGCGTAGTATGAAATAGCTGAAAACCCCCCACTGAAAGGCTGCTAGACCCGAATGTTTTATAGGTATCCCCAAAACTTCAAGGGGAAAGCGATCTCTGCCTCACTCAAGCAGTTCCCAGCAGAGAAGGTCCCCAGCTTATACCACAAGGCTGGGAAACACAAAATTTAGGTAAATTTGACTTTTGAACACAGATACAAGATTCCTAAGTAGAACAGTAAATTAACTCCAACAGGATGAGTATATTAAATGTAGCAAAGGGTCTCTCCTAGGAATACAAGGAGGCTCAGTCTTTGAAAACCTATAAATACATTCACATAGTGTATGGATTGGATTGTATCCCCAGAAAAGATATTGAGTAGGTTAAAGAGAGACATATGTAATTCTCTTGGGGGGTGGGATATGGTGGGGAGGTAACATTTGACAAATGTGCAAGATAAAAACTCCCAGTAAACTGGAAACAGAAGATATTCCTATCCTGGTAAGAAGTATTATAAAAAACACTTCTGCAAGCATCGTATCTAATGGTGAAACACTGGAAGTATCTCCAGTAAGCCAAAATCAACATTATACTAAAGATTTTACCCAACAAAATAAGGCAAGAAAAAAGGAGGCATAATATTTCAAAGAGAAAGACATAATTGTTATCTGCAGACTACACAATCATAGAAAAAAATCTAGACTTATGCAACTCATAAGAAAGTTTACTCCCCAAAAAAATGTTTTTAAAGGAACGTTAACCAAAGTTGATGGATTAAAAAAATCAGCATACAAAATCAGTGATCATCTTACATTCCTTTAAAAAAGAGAGTAGAAAAGTACACTATTCACAATAATAACAAGGTGCCTAGGAGCAAATTCTTTCAAAATGAAAATTTTTTATGAAGAAAATGATCAAACATTAAGAAAGTATTAAGCCAGGATCCAAATAAGTGGTGATAAATATATTCATAGAAGACTTATTATTATGAAAGGGTCAGTTGTCCCCCGAATGTTCCTATAAATTCAGCAAACTTCCTCTCTAGAGCCCCAAATAATTTGCCATAGACCTAGACAAACGGATGGTTAGCTCATAGACAAACTCAGGGCCCAGGGTAGAAAAGACAAGATTGGGGACATGGCTGAACACGGGTCAGGACTCACTGTGGAGCTGTGACAAGCAGTGCGGGGTCCTGTGCAGAGGGGAGTGGATGGACCCGTGTGCACCAGACAGATGCAAACATAGGCGGAGCGGTGGTGTGCCTCAGAAGGGGGCAGGGCAGTGTTGGAAAAATATACTTTTCATTTGGAGACATAAGAACACATCTTACACGAGCACTTTCCAGATGTTTTTAAGGACACAAATGAAAAGCCTAATTTTAAAATCTAGTAACAGAAAATAGAAAGGTGTGTCTTGATTATTTTAGAGTAGAAAACTATACTTAGGAACAGCGTCATCGAAATACAATTCATAAATAAAGTCTACAGAAATGTGAAAATCCAACCGGTCCTTCTTCCTGCCTTGCGTATCTCAGATACCATCGAAAGAGAAGCGTGTCATGGCCTCGTGACTCCTACCCTGGCACCTGCAGGTCTCTGCTCCTCACGCTTCAGGTCACAACCAGATGCAGCTTCCTAAACACCACTCAGCTCCCGGAGTTCAAGGCCTGGGACGGAATCCACTCCTGGTCTGGCCACTCCTACCCATCCCCATCATCTCTGCACCCACGACGGCTCCTGGTTCCAGAGCATTTCCCCTAAGCCCTCACCTCCACGCCAGCCCCCTCTGGGGTCCAGGGTGCTCCTCAGACCACCACACCCAACACCCCTCTCCTCCTCCGAACCCCGATGCCCCGCAGGCCAGCTCCAGGCAGGGAAAGGTCATTTACAACCCCGAGCCCCAGACATAGAGTCCGACAGATGTCCAGTGGGGGAGACATCTACAAACCACTGACCCCTTTGGCTTGCCTCTCCCCCCTCGTAAAGGGAGCGCACTGCTGCTCTGCCTGGATAACATGATGGTGGGGAATTGTGGCCACCCCTTGACCACAATGCCCACTGGCCCTCCCCTGGGGTCATCTTTCACACGACAGAGGGTTTTCATGGAATGAGAATTGTTCCTTTTCGTGGAACTGGTGAGCCAGTGCACCTGGCCCTCCTCACGTTACTGCTCGGGGAGGCTCATCCGGATTGAGGGCCAGCCTAGCTGCTCTTGCCATCTCCTCCCTGTCTGCTGGGGAGAGGGTGGGAGATGGCGGGACGAATGTTCCAGGTGGCTGTGGCTGGGAACCTGACTCTGGGAGCAGAACTGCAAAGACACCCCCCCCTGATGGCTAGGCTGGGGGGCATTGAGGGAGGACTCCCCCCCCGCTGCTGCACTCACTGAGGGAGGCCTTCGCAGACGGCATAGCGGCCGTGGAAGCTCCGGCGGTCCACCAGCCCGTCCATGGTGTTGTAGTTGATCTTGGACAGGAGATCCAGGCAGCTGGAAACAGACAGCAGGCCTGGTCTGTGGCCAGCAGACCCCAAGGACACGTGGAGGGGCCCAGCTGGGGGGGCCTCCTCTCAGGTGGTCTGCATGTCTGCCCCTGGGCCCGGGCCTCAGACAGGAGCCTGAGAAGCATGGCCTGTGTCCAGAGTGGCCTGCTGCCCGCTTAGCCACCGGCTTCTCAGCAGACCCATGGGGGCTTTCTCAGGGTCCCTGGGAAGGATGGGTGTCCCAGCCGGGGGACAGGGGATACTCCTCAGGCAGAGCAGGAGTGCCATGCTGGCCCAGCGTGGCTCCACAGTGGGCAGTTCTGTGGAGGACTCCCATCCTGCCCCCCACCATGAAACAGGGCTCAGGGATGCAGGCAGAGAAGGCCACCACACTTACCTCCCCATGGGGTCCACAACTGTTTTGTCCTCTCTCTCAGCCGTGTAGAAAGGGGGCTTATAGAGCCCAAAGTCCGTCTGCAGCAGAAAAAGGGTGAGGTTTTCCTTCGACGTTTGACCCCTCATGCAGAACTCAGGACAGGCACCCGGCAGCTCAGAGGGTGACCCGCCTTCTAACATTTCTCCACAGCCTGGACTGGGCTCTCCACCACCCCCACCCTGCACACCATCCCCCTCCACCCACCCAGACCAACCCCACAGCAAATGTCACTAGCTCTGCGCAGAGGTGGGGCCCAAGAGGACCTTTGGGGACAGCGTTGGGGACACCGAGAAGGAGCTGGCTGCCAGAACTGTGGGTTGGAGCGGATCTGGATGCACAGATCAGAGGGGGTTCCACTTGGAGAGAGGGGGTGCACTGGGGATAAGGTAACAGGAGCCCAAGAACAGGATTGCTGCAGCCATAGAGGTCATTGGGAAGGCTGGCCTGGCGCCACGGGTCAGGCAGGGTTCTTAGAGGAGGTGGGATTTAGGAGAGGCAGGGTCCGGACGGCTGGGTCAGCCCGTGCTGTATGTGGTCCGAGGAGCCAGAGCACCAGGTTTGGGGCTGGACCGTTGGCCCCAACCCCAGCTCTTCCGCCTCTCCTGTGTGGCCCATGTCCTTGGACTCTGTGGGCCTTGCTGTCCTCGTCGGTCACATAGGACTGCCCAGGCCCAGTTGTTAGGCTGTGACTTGGCCCTAGTCATTAAACCCACCCATGGCTGTTGTGTGTGGGTGGCCCTCAGCCCCTCCCCCAGGCCAGCACTCACCTCCCAGGGCACCTTCTCGTTGGGCACGGGGAATCGTGTGACTGGACCGCTGGGGTAGAGGAGGTGCCGGGCGTTCACATGGTACAGGTCCTCCCCGTCATCTGCCTTCTGCCTGCCACCCAGTGCTCCACTCTGCTCCTTGGGGGCCTTCTGGGGTGCTGGGGACAGTCAGAGAGTCTGAAGCAGGGCCCCACTGGAAAGTCAGGGCTCCCACTGGAAGGGCAGGGCTGTCCCCTTTGGCCACTTCCCACAGTATTGGGCTCCTCTTCCTCCCTGGGCCCTGGCAGCCAAGCAGTGTCCAACACAGGCCGCCGGGTGCCCCCATGACCTCCCCACTGAAGCCCTGGAGTTCTGTCTGCCCGCCGTCCTTCAGCTGCTGGACACTTTCTCTCGGCCTTTTACATGGCAGCCACGAACAGAGGGCCCTGTCATCAGAACGACTCAGGAGCTCGCAGCCTGTTAATGAGGCTGAACTGGTGCCCCTGGGGCTGGTGCCACCAGTGGGGGAGGGGGGGTTACTCGTGGTGACCTGTGACAGGGTCACCTGTCCCTTCAGGGCAGGTCTAGGGCAGCCCTGCTAGGCTCCAGAAATGGATATGCTCCAGGATGGACAGGGGCCACCATACACCTCTCTCCTAACAGACTCCAACCAGCTGAACACCCAGCGGGGAGGCCCACTGTGCCCCCCACCCCCACCCCCACACACCTGGAGCAGGGACATCTGCTTCTAAGCCGAAGCCGCCATCCCTCAGCGCCCTCACGATCCAATGAAGCGCGCCAGTGGTCTGGCCCATCTGGAAGGCACGCCCCCAAGACCCGGTGAACGCCAGCTGTGGGCCCATCCCCACAGCACACCCACCCCTCCCTCTCCAAGCTCCTAGCATCCCAGGGAAAGCCAACCTGCCTCCCCAAGGGGGCTGGCTGCTGGCCATCACACTGCCAGAGGCACAAGTGACCGCTGGGACTGGACAGGCCTGGGGAGTGTTGACTGACTGCACCGTGCTCCCCAGCCAGCAACAACCCCGGAAGCCCCCAGGCCTCCCAGTGCAGTGACATGGGGGGTTATGTCTGCACCCTAGCCCAGCCGACCAGGGTGTGACAATGCCATCTTCATGCAGCATTCAGATGCCAGTCCTGGACCCGGCTGGGGGGAGGTGTGCAGGAAACGTGGACGAGAGAGGAAACCCGTGTTTGTGACCAGACTGGAGCCCCTGGGCCCTGGCCAGCTCAGAGGAGAGGGTTTTGAACCACACCTTTTAAGAGGCTGCCTGTCTCAGCCCAAGCAGTGGTAGCTGGGTCGTGGGCTGGCTGGCAGGCTACATGCCCCAAAGCCAATGATGGAGGGTATGAGGCGGGAGTCGCCCTGGTGTAAAGAAGCAGTGCCAAGAGGGACAACAGATGGGGGTGGGCTTGTGGTAACACAGAGAAAAGACAAGGGCCCCTTGGGGGTCAGTCTCCATCAGCTGCACCGAGACACAGTGGGACAACAGTAGTGCCCAGCGGGAGCCCCACGGGCACAGGCAGTCCTCGGCCTCCAGGGCCCCTCACCAACTCTGCCTCCTCTCTCTGATCATGCCCCCTGGCCAGCCCCTCCACCTCCAGACCTGCTGGTCTGCTCACACCCAGAGCCCTGGCCAGCCTGGCCCATGCCACGACCCGTGGAGAACGGTCTTGGCAGTTCCTCCAGTATAACAGCTCCTTCACCCCCAGGCTCCACGGTGATCCCCTGTTCCAACCATGTGCTGCGTGTCCTGCCTGATGCCGCCCTCCAGCCCCACCCACCCACTCAGAAGTTCAAAGGCAACGTGGCTTCATACCGTTCCCTCTGCCTGGCTGGGTCAAGGAGGGGGCTCAGAGACACAGCAGTCCCATCTCAGACCCTCGCTTTCCAGGAGGGCAGGAGGAGGGGCTAGGGCTAGGGGCGGGCCCTCTCAGGAGCAGATAAACCGATGCCATCAAGCCAGCTCTGGCTGGTGGCCCTGCAGCGTGCGCCACAGCAGAACATGGGGTTTCCTATGACTGGGTTTCGGGGAGTAGGGTCACCAGGCCTTTCTTCTGAGGCATCTGGCTGCTGAGTGCATGGGCCATTTGCACCATCCAGGGACTCCCCCAGACCCAGCTAGGAACACCTATTTCCAACGTGCCATGGCTCGGCTAAGGAGACAGTGAGTGGAGATTTTCTAGAGGACAGAGATGGTGCCACGTCCCTTTGGGAAATGTTGCCCTGACGTCCAGCATCCCCCATCCCCACTGTGTGCATGTCACACTGCCCCAGGCCCTGTACACAGAGGCCCCCTCAGACCCACCTGCTCCTCCAGGAAGGCCAGCCTGTGCTCCAAGGAGCTCGAGCGCTTCATCTGGCCCACGTCCAGCAGCTCCAGCATGGTGTCCACCCTGGAAGATGGCACAGTAGAGCCCACTGAGGGCAAGCCAGGAGCCCAGAGAGGTTTAAGACTGCCTTGAATTCCAGTCTTCTTCATTGCAAAATCATTTAGAGCAGTGGTTCTCAACCTGTGAGTCCAGACCCCTTTGGGAGTCGAACGAACCTTTCCTAGGGGTCGCCTAAGACCATCGGAGAACATATATTTCCAATGGGCTCAGGAACCGACACACTGCTCTTCCATCTGTCTCCAGGTGGGTCTGCCCACATGCAGATACGCCCACCTACAAGTACCCGGCAGGAAGACGGTTACCCATGCTACACCATGCTTCAAGACGACTTTCATTTATTTCTAATTAGAAATAAATATTTCACAATATAGAACTATATATTTTTTGTGATTCGTCACTATGCTTTAATGCTGTTCAATTTGTAACAGTGAACATACATCTTGCCTATCAGATATTGACAAGATGATTCATCACAGTAGCAGAATTACATTGAAGAAACAGCTACGACAGTCATGTTATGTTGGGGGCAGCACCCCATGAGGCACTGTCTGAAAGGGCTGCGGCCTGAGGAAGGCTGAGAACCGCTGGTTTATAGCACGTGCTTCAGCTACAGAATGGAGATGGCCTCGTGCTCCCAATGGGAAGGTCCCCGAGGGAGGGCACTAGCCAGGCCTTTTCATGGAGAACAGGAACCCGGGTGGAGCAGTGGATTTTGCTAAGGGTTCAAAACCACCAGCAGCTCTGAGGGGAAAGAACAGGCTTGCTACTCCCACAAAGAGTTACAGTCTTGGAAACTCACAGGGGCAGTTCTACCCTGTGGTCCCACAGGGTGACGATGAGTCAGAAATGACTGGTTGGCAGTGAGTTTGTTCGTTTTTGTTTATGTGTTTGTTTGTATTTGTGGATAATTGCAGTAGATTCTGCTATTCACCATAGGTTCTGTTTTGAATTTTAATCATTTTATTGGGGGCTCATACAGCTCTTCTCACAATCCATCCATCCATTGTGTCAAGCACATTTATACATTTGTTGCCATCATAATTTTCAAAGCATTTTCTTTCTACTTGAGGCCTTGGTATCAGTTTGTTCTTTTTCCCTCCCTCCCCCACCTTCCCAACATGATTGCTGAAGACAAACGGGTGCATAAGCAAATGTGGTGAAGAAAGCTGATGTTGTCCAGCTATCAAAAGACATAGCGTCTGGGGTCTTAAAGACTTGAAGATAAACAAGTGACCATCTAGCTGAGAAACAACAGAGTCCACATGGAAGGAGCACACTAGCCTGTGCGATCACGAGGTGTTGATAAGTTGATGGGAAGAGCTGTGATACGTTGTGATATGTTGATAGGATCAGGTATTGGGCATCAAAGACCCAGAACAAAAAATCATATCGATGTGAATGAGGGGGAGTGCAGAGTGGAGACCCAAAGCTCATCTGTAGACAACTGGACATCCCCTCACAAAAGAGTCACAAGGAAGAGACAAGCCAGTCAGGGTGCAGTACAGCACCGAAGAAACGTACAACTTTCCTCTAGTTCTTTAATGCTTCCTCCCCACCCACCACCCTACTATCATGATCCCAATTCTACCTTACAAATCTGGCTAGACCAGAGCATGTACAGGGGAACAGATACGAGCTGGAAACACAGGGAATCCAGGACACATAAACCCCTCAGGACCAATAATGAGAGTAGCATTACCAGGAGGGGAAGGGGAAGGTGGGGGAGGAAGGGGGGGGGGATGTACCACAATGATCTACATATAACCCCCTCCCATGGGGATGGACAACAGAAAAGTGGGTGAATGGAGACATCGGTCAGTGTAAGACATGGAAAATAATAACAATTCGCCATAGTTTTAAAACCACCACTGCTCTGTCCATCCATCACTGTGATGCTGGCACCTATGCCACCATGCTGAATACATTGGCAGGGTCCCCCGTGATGGGCAGGTGCCTGTGGAGCTTCCACACTAAGACAGACTAGGAAGGAAAGCCTGGCGAGTGACCTTTGACAATTAGCCCATGAAAGCCCTCTGGATCTCAGGAGAGCATTAGCCACTACCTGCAGGACAATGAGCCTGGGGTTGGCGGCCTGTAAAATGCACGGTGGCTGCAGCAGCACGTTCACACACCCCCGCCACCAGGAAGACGTCACGGGGCCAGGCAAGGGTCTGTCCTGCTGTGCGTGGATCAGGGCTGACTTGATGTCAACTGCCACCTGTTCTACAAAGTGAGCCAGATGGCATTTGACATCGTGATTATTTGGGGTTTGGGCTAGTATCCTTAAGGCGGGACGCTGCAGAGTACCAGAGCCTGGGTTCAAATCTAGACAGCATTGCCTACAGGGGCCAATGGGCTCTCAAATTTTCAACTCTTCCAGGCCCCATTTCTTCTCTTGTCGCGTAGAACTGGCAATCCCTCCCTTGCAAGGGTGCAGAAGAGGCAAGTGGGAAGATGCGGGGAAGGTGCCCCTGGCTCCTGCTGTCGCAGTCATCCTGACGGTCCTGGGCTCTGCTGACCAGTGCCCTGACATGCAAATTCCCCTGCACACAAGCCTGAGACCACCTTTCTGAGACACCCGGGTGCACCCCTCCTCTAGCACAGTCACTGGCCAAAGTCAACTGATGCAAAGCAAGGCCAACCAATCAACTCACCAAGCAATGCCAGGCCCTGGGAGGGCTAAGAATTTTTCACAGGAAGACTAGCCGAAAGGCACAGACAAACCCCACCCCGCCAGTGGGGGACATCTGAACAAAGTGGAGCAACCTGGTAGAAGACCTGCCCCAACCTCATTCTCCCCACTCTCTGCCCGCCTGCCTCGCCCTCCCTGGAGTGCCAGGTTCAGACAGGAGATCTCCTCCTTTCCCCTCCACCGGAAGGCCCTTGCCCAGCAGGACTTGAGCTTCTCTGCAAAGTGCAATAGAGGGAGAGCCTGGACTCAACCGGAGAGGAATGTGTCCAGAGTGAAGCAGAGCGGCTACCCCTGCTGGATCCCCAGCGGCTAGCTCTTCCCCATTGACCTCATCATCAGCATCAAGGTCATCAAGGTGCAGAAGCAGCCATAAACATGGCCCCGACAGCAGCTCTCGCTCACCAAGTGCGCTAGAGAAATAAGCTGAAGAATGGACACGGGTACAGATCAGAGCTGGAAACACAGGGAGTCCAGGACAGATAAACCTCAGGACCAATCATGAGAGTAGTGATACCAGGAGGGGAAGGGGAAGGTGGGGGCGGGGGTACTGATCACAATGATCTACATATGAGCCCCTCCCAGAGGGACAGACACCAGAAAAGTGGGTGAAGGGAGACAGCGGTTGGTGTATTACCTGAAAAAATAATAATAATTTATAAATTATCCAGGGCTCATGAGGGAGAGAGGTTGGTTGAGGGAGGGGGGAAACTATGAGGTTTATACTAAGGACTCAAGTAGAAAGGAAATGTTTTGAAAATGATGATGGCAACAAATGTACAAATGTGCTTGACACAATGGATGGATGAATGGATGGGTTGTGATCAGAGCTGTATGAGCCCCCAATAAAATGATTTAAAGAAAGGAAGAGAGAAAGAAAGACATAAGCTGAAGAAAGCTCCTGTGTGTTGGCCCCAGATGGTTTATTTCTCTATAGCAAGCACACACACACACACACACACACACACACAAAGGCCACCGGTGTCAATTTCAGATTTTTATACATCCGACTATTCTTAAAATAGCCTAAATAAGTAGAATGCTAGACACTTAGAACCTCACGTGCCCCATGAACCTGCACCCCAACATCTGCCGAGCCCCGGAGTTCCCAGCCCTCCACGCTGCTCTCTGACCCAGAGACTGCTGGAGACATGGCCTCCATGTGGGGTGGCCCCTCTGGCTCCCCCCAGCCCCTCGGAGTTTCTCTTTCCCGCTTCCCTTCCCGACGCTTGTCTCTGGAGGGTCTCTGCTGTGACCCCCCCCCCACAAAAAAAATACCCCAAACCCAAACTCACTGTCACTGAGTCAATGCAGGTTCATTGACACCCTATAGGAGAGGACAGCACTGCCCCTGTGAGTTTCTGAGACTGCAACTCTTTCCAGGAGTAGAAAGTCCCATCTTTCTCCAGAGGAGCTGGTGGTTTTGAACTGCTGACCTTGTGGTTAGCAGCCCAATGCACGACCACTCCACCACCAGCATGTAGCAGCTACTAAAACCACATTCCTAATACCCACCTGCTTTCCCGTAGTCATCTCGCTTTCCTTGGACGGCTCCCCAATCCCTCAAACCCACTGCAGAGTCCTGGCCATGTCCCCAGCCCAGTGGTGCCCTCAAGACCAGTGTCTCCACGTCACAGAGGCATGGGGACCTCTCCAAGGAGAGGGGCAGCTCTTCTGATTCAGCACCCCTGCTCCTGGCCACTCCCTGCCACAGGTCTGGGACACCTATCCCCAGCACAGTGGGCAAACAGTCCATACCAAGGGCCAGATCTGCCCACCACTGGATGGCTACACGGCCCTTTCTCCTCCGGCATTCACTGAGAGGCCTGGGCACGGGTGCAGGGCAGGGCCTGGCCCATGGTCAGGTGCACAGGGCCAGCCGGGCTTACTCTCTGGTATTCTTCTGGAAAGACACAGCCCTGCTGGTCTTACTGGGGCTGAGGGACTCTGGGGTGGAAGGTGGGGGAGAGCAGTGTCAGGCTGCAAACAGAGCTGTGTCCTTAACCCTGTAGGAGGGTCAGGGAGTGGGGAGGAGGATGCTGAGTGGTCCCGAGCACCAAGGCCCAGCATAGCTACAGCAAGGCCTGCCCCCAGGAAGCTGGCAGGCGGAGGATCTGTCCTCAGTATGATCTGGAACTCCAGGGGGACAAACCTCCCAGACCTGCTCCTCCTCCAGCCCACCTGAGACTCCCCTGCCAGCCTTCCACCCCTCCGGGCCTCTAACAAGAAGTCAGGAGGGTCAGCCCCACCTCCCAGGCAGGTGTAAGCTCCCAGATGTGGACGCAGATGGCCTTTCTTTTTTTTTTTTCTTCTTCTTCTAATCATTTTATTAGGGGCTCATACAACTCTTATCACAATCCATACATACATCAATTGTGTAAAGCGCATTTGTACATTCATTGCCCTCATCATTCTCAAAATATTTCCTCTCCACTTAAACCCCCGGCATCAGGTCCTCATTTTTCCCCTCCCTCCCCGCTCCCCCCTCCCTCATGAGCCCTTGATAATTTATAAATTATTATTTTGTCATATCTTGCCCTGTCCGATGTCTCCCTTCACCCACTTTTCTGTTGTCCGTCCCCCAGGGAGGAGGTCACACACAGTTCCTTGTAATCGGTTCCCTCTTTCCTACCCACTCTCCCTCTACCCTCCCAGTATCGCCACTCACACCACTGGTCCTGTAGGGCTCATCCGTCCTGGATTCCCTGTATTTCCAGTTCCTATCTGTACCAGTGTACATCCTCTGGTCTAGCCAGACTTGCAAGGTTGAATTCGTGTCATGATAGTGGGAGCGGGGAGGAAACATTTAGGAACTAGAGGAAAGTTGTATTTTTCATCATTGCTACATCGCACCCTGACTGGCTCGTCTCCTCCCCAGACCCTTCTGCAAGGGGATCTCCAGTGGCCTACTAATGGGCTTTGGGTCTCCACTCCACACTCCCCCCCTCATTCACTATGGTAAGATTTTTTGTTCAGATGGCCTTTCACACTCATGTCCGTCCTGCAGTCTGTGCCCAGTCTTCCTTAGGACCCCAGAGGTGGGAGGCAGAGGGCAGGCCCGGGCCCGGCTCCTGGGATTTCTCTCCGTCGAGGTGCGACCCACACCCCCGCTTAGCCTGAGCCAGTGGACACCTACTTATCGCCCAGGTCTCGGATCCTCTGCTCAGGGCTCTGCTCCCGCTGGTACTGCTGGTTATGCAGGTAGTTCTCTTTCAGGTACATCTCCCAGGACAGGAGCGCTGCCTCCTCGCTCTTCTCAAGCTTGTTTTCTGTTGGGTAGACCAGACAGAGGAGAGCTGACCCTGGGTGGGGAGGACAAGTGAGGCCACTGACCTAAAGGGCCTGGGCTGGATGGGGGAGGGACAGGTAAGGTGCTGACCATCCTTCGCTGGGACCCCACATGGGTGGCAGGGGGTGCACCAAGCACAAAGCTAGTTTCTGGGCTGGAGGGGACGTCTGCCTGCCACCCACCAGAGGAGGCTACTGAACACGGTCTCCACACTCAAAAGGTCACTGCCATTAAGTCACAGCCACCCTAGGGGACAGAGTAGAACTGGCCCCTGTGAGTTCCCAAGGTGGTCACTCTTTACAGGAGCAGAAAGCCGCATCTCTGTCCCACAGAGCGGCCGTGGAGTTGAATTGCTGACCTGTGGTAAGCACCCCAGCACGTATGCTAGCAGAGCTCCTCCGATCTCATGCCTACTGAAGGGTGGTGGGAGCTCATTGTGGGAGGGTGGTCTGTATAGCCTGGGTGCACCCAGGACCCTGCATGCACCAGGGTGCCCACCCTGGACCCCACCTATGCTCTAAGGTGACCAGGGGAAGTGCTTGGGTGCCACGAGAGAGCCGCTTACTGAGCTCCTTGTGCCTCTTGTGCTGGTTCTTGAGGGTGATCCTCTTGATCAGGAGCTGCAGGTGGCTGAGGAGGATGAGGGGCGGCGGGGCGGGGGGCCGGCCATGGTACTCCTCAATCAGGTCGTGACGCTGGAACTTCCAGATCTGGTCTGTGTGCTCCTGGACCTGCTGGAATGTGTAGCTGGGGAGGGGCGGGGGGGTGCCGGTGACCTTCAGACACTTAACGATTGTGTAGACGTGCAAGAATCTTAGAAGAACATTCTACCTCCGAGGATGGGAAGCTTAGTGAGCTTCCGGGGAGCCACAGGGAGAGGAGAAGACAGAGACGGCAAACGTCATGCTGACTGGGGAGCACAGAGTGGGCACATACCCGGAGCAAGCACCCTTCTGGCACCTACGTCTAGAGTGAGTTTGTCAGCTGGCTCAGGTTGAGGGCAGACCGAACTGGCAGCATCTCAGAGAGACTCGGTACAGAGACGCTGTCTCATGGGATGTCCTATGGAGGAACCCAGGCAGAGGGAAAGCCTCCCAGGGGAGGTGGGCCAGTGGGGCTGCCCTGTGCCACTCTTTATGGGAAGAGGCCCCGCCCCTAGCCCCCTGTTGGTCTTGCTAGCCTCATTCCTCTCGCCCACGTGCATGGCCACCAGTGTTCAGACAGCCATTGCTATCGAGTGGATTCGGACTCCTGGCAACCCCATCCTGGCAACGGTGCCCCAGAAGGCCTTCAGAAATAGATCGGCAGGCCTTTCTCCCTTCCGCTGGGTGGGCTTGAGCCTCCAATCTTTCAGATAGAAGGTGAGCTGACCACCTGGGGACCCCGTTAGTACACGCTTTACTGCCTTATCATTTCCCCGGAAGTCAGAAGCCACAGATGGGTCGCACCGGGCTAACTCCAACCTCTGCTTCCGCCGAGGCATCTCCTCTGACTCCGACCTTCCCGCTGCCTCCTTTCCCTCCTTCCCTCATCTGAGCAAGGCCCCCGCTTGGGATCCCTAACGTGATCCCACCTGCAAAGTCCTATGGTCAGGTAAGGGAACATGGTCACCCGTTTCGGGCCTCAGGATACAGACATCTCCGGAGGTCATTATCCTGCTGACCTAGCTCCCTGTTAAGGACCAGGTCACATGTAGAACTCACTGGGCAAAAGAGTGGGGAGGTGGGTGGGGCGCATGCATGCAAACCCCGAGAGTGATAACAATGAGGAAGACGCCCCTATCTATCGGTGTGGGCAACCCGTCTGGGGAGCCACCTGCTCAGAGGCACAGAGTGCTGAGAGAACGCCCAGGGTGGCAGCAGCTCAGAACAAGGTCGGAGCTGGACCGCAGGGCAGCAGAACCAGGCCCGGGGTTCAGGGCAAAGGGACATGTGTAGGACCCTCTGGGAAATGAGGGTCACAAGTGTATTGGGGGCCGGAGAGAAGCCAGGCCGTGGCTGGGCACATCCTCCGGGATCAAGCAGTTAGTCTGCGAACGCATAAAGCTCTATCCTGACTAGGGGCACATCCTGGTGCCCTTAGAGAAGAATGGGATAGATGACGTGCACCCCATCATCAAAACGTCCTTGAGGCAAAGGCACTGCGGTCTGCCCTGTTACTGAAATGAGGAGACGGGGCCACGGTGAGGTTAAGTAACTTGCTTTACACCACTGGGAAGCAGCAGAGCAGACACAAACCGGGGCACCTGGCTGCCACACCCAGGTCCTTCAGGGCGGCACGGCATGCCTTTTCAAACACTCACTGGGAAGCAAATTGTCCAGTAGGAAGAGAGGGGGACAGAGAGCAGGAGGCATGACCCATAAACCAGGTGTGGCCAACTGATTGTAAACCTGGTCCCACTCTTTACACTTCCCTGTATCCCTTGGGAGAAGTCCATGGGTGACACCAACGGATAAGCATTCAGCTACTAGCCAAACATTGAGGGTTTGCGTCTACCTAGAGGCAGCTTGGAAGAAAGGCCTGGCGATCTAGTTCTGGAGGAAAAGTCATGGAAAGCCCTACGGAGCACTGTTCTCCTCCGACACACGTGGGTCACCAGGAGTTGGCGTCGTTCAATAGTCACTGGTATTCCACGGTAAGAGCTCCCACCCTGGCTCAGCTTGGCCATGTTCTGCCTTTCGGCAAATAGCAGACTTAACCCCAGTGGAGCCTTGCAAACATCGCATGCCTCCACTTCTGGTCCCTTTCTGAGCACTGTCAGCACGGGGAGAACAAGCCTGGTCCACCGGCTGGAGGATGAGACCATGCAGAGGAGACGCGAGTTGTCCCTACAGGGGCCGTCCTGGACCGGGCAGTTGCCAGACCACTCCGCATGCCTGCCGATGCAAGTGGGAGCCCGGCCGTCATCAACGAAGCCCAGGCCAGATGAGCAGAACCATCCAGGTGGCCCACAGACTTCGGAGAAATAAGGTACGGTTGCTGCTCATTGTTCCCAGGTTGGGGATAGTTGGGTGGACAGTCATACTGTCCCCAAAGCAAACTCACCACCATGGAGTCGGTTCTGCCTCACAGACCCCCGAGGACAGACGAGCACTGTTCTTGTGGGTTTCTGAGACCATCGGTCTTTACAGGGAAGCCTCATCTTTCTCCCTCGGAAGTGCTGGTGAGTTCAAACTGCTGACCCATGGGTAACAGTCCCATGTGTAACCCATCACACCACCATAAGTGCTGCACATCCCCCAGGAAGGGGCTGCGAGAGCCTGCAGCGGGGCAGGAGCCCTGCGGAGCCCTGTGCTGCTAAAGCATTGAGTGTTTCACATCTAGGATGCAGACAGATCTGCCTTACAGAGCAAGAGGAGCCTATTTAATAAACACAAGTGTGGTTATGTGTTGGGCTGCTAACTGCAAGGTGTTCGAAACCATCAGCGCTCCCCGAAAGAAAGATGAGACTTTCTACTCCAGTAAAGAATGAGTCTCGGAAACCCACAGGGACAGCTCGGTCCCATCTCAGAGAGTCACGCAAGGAGTTGGAGTTTTGGAAGTGACCAGGTCGCTTTGCCAAGTTCGGCCCCTGGTCTCCATAGCTACAAAATGTAGAGACTGCATGGCAGAACTTCCACATGCAAAATCTTAGTTAGCTTCACACCAACCGGTGAACCAGCATCCTCTTCATTCCACAGAGAACAGAGGAGAAGCCTAGAGGGAAGTTAGAGGTCTTTCCCAAGACGCTGAGTCTAATCCAAATTGCTTCTCGCTGTTGGGGCTGTGCCTTAAGCCCCCCAATATAGAATCCTGCCCATCCAGGCAAGAGGTGTGCCTTATGTCCATGAAGCGTTGATCACCCCCCAGGCTGGGCATCCTGTAGACAGGAAATACAAAGCCTGAACAGGAAGGAGGGGATGCAAATCCATCAGTGCATTCCTGCTGCCCACAGCAGCACACGCGGGGGCATCAAGGGGACCCATTCCCCCAGTGAGCAGACAGACCAGGCATGCTGACTCTATGGGTCTGCACCTTCCAGCCTGGGTGTCAGGGAGCTGCTCAGGAGAGTTCCTGGCTCAGAGACCACCATCTGAGACACGCAGGGGGACTGTGGGAGAGCACAGTGGGGCTGGCACAGCCCTCCCACCCCCCTCACATGCGCCAGCCCCGGCTACGGGGGCAGCAGGACTCACTTGAACATGGCAATGAGGAGGTTGAGCAGCAGGATGTTGGTGAAGAGCAGGTACAGGCAGAGCAGGATGACCGTCAGCCATTCAGGGAAGGCCGGCTCCTGCTGGGTCTGATCGCTCTCTGGGCACTTGGGCTTGTAAGGGTCTGTGCCATTGGGGCTGCAGTGCTCGGGATCGAAGTTCACTCCTGCCGTTGGCAGCAAGGTGGGCGCATAAAGAAAGAGAGCAACACAGGTGGGCACAACACAGAGTCACACATGTCCCAAGGTCAATGTCTCTGGACTCTGGTGAGTGTCCCAGCTGAAAGGAAGCCCCAACACCATCTTGTCCCTTGCTGAGGAGGTCCATAGGCCTGGACACCTGAGTGACCTCAGTGGTCAGGGTGGGGCTCAGAGAGAGGCTAATGAGAGGCCTAGCTCTATGCCCAAGTATCCTCTCTAGACACGAAGGTGGCTGGCAGGAGAGCCTCAGGAGCCAGAGGGAACTTCCCTTCCCAGGTTAGCACATGCCTTCCCAGGCTCTAGGCAGCTGCTACCAGGGAACTTCCTGGACCCCAGCCAGGGGGGCCACCAGGCTGAGGCTGGGGCTGTGACCATCAGTACGACAAAGGTCCCAACACCGAGAAGTTCAATTCGGAGGGAAAGGTTTTAAAAGGAATGTTTGTTTGTTTGTTTGTTTTTTAAACAGCAACAGCAAAGCAAAAAGAAAGGGCCCATAGACAGGGGAACATTTTGCAGAAGCCATCCATTGGTAAGACGAGTGGATGATTCGGAAAACAGAGCCACAAAGTGCAGAAAGGCGAGAAAAGAGGGGAAATGAAACAGAAAGCAATGGGAGGAAGTGGGAGGAAGTGATGTCACACGTATGCAAACCAAACAGACACATGCAATGAGCGGGAAAGCCGCAACTGATCAAAACGGACCTAGGAAGCAAGCGAAACTCCGAATAGACAGATAACACAAGACTGAATGAGTAACTTACACCTTCGCAGAAAGGAAAACCCAGGAAGAATTCATAGGAATCCTCCAAAAATTCTTCCAAGAAATAGGGAGAAGGCATCATTTCCCAACTCTTTCTCTGAGGCCAGGGTAACCCTGAGAGCAAAACTAGACAAAGCCATTAATAAGACAACTACAGACCAGTAGCCTGTGGGGAGAGAGGGGCAAAGTTTCTTAAGAAAACCCTAGCAAACCAAACCCAGGAGCATGTACAAGATGACCCCCATCCCCCACCCCCGGCCTCCTGGACAGCGAGTGTGCTGTGGTGCAGTACCTCACTGTGGGGTGACCCGACTGGATGGCCCCCTGCAAGGACCACCAGAGAGCAAGGTTGGTCAGACTTATGAAAATCAGTCAACATCGTACACTGTTCAGAAGGGAAGGGGCACAAACCGAGAATCATTTCAATAGATGCAGAAGAAGAATTGAGGGGAAGTTAACGCGATTTCATAATAAAACAAATCAACAAACTTGGAGCAGAAGGGGATTTTCTTAGCCTGGTAAGGGACATCTACCAGAATACCCGCAGCAAGCGTCTTACCAAACGGTGAAAACTGGAAGTGTTCCCTCTAATACTGTGAGTAAGAAATGAACATTTCTTAGATCCAGCAACGAAAGTACAATCAATAAGAAGATTGATAAGTTGTATGTCATCAAAATTGGAAACTTCTGTGCTGCACAGGGTATCATCCAAAAAAGCGAAAAGACAAGCCACAGAATGGGGTAAAATATCTTTAAATTCATGTCTAATAAAGAGCTCATTTTCAAAATATAGAATTTGTACAACCCATTGATTAAAAAAAAGATAAGTAACCCAATTGAAAAATAGACAAAGGAATTGAATAGACATTTCATCCTTCTTTCAGAAAGAGAGAGAGAGAGAGAGAAAGAGATGATAGATAGATAGATAGATAATATATATAATCAAACCCAAACCCACTGACATTGGATTGACTCCAGTTCATAGTGAATCTTTAGTACAGTGTGAAACTGCCCTTCAGGTGTCTGAAACTAAATCTTTCCTTGAGCATAAAATCTAAATCTTTCCTTGAGCATAAAATCTCATCTTCCTTCACTGGAGCAGTTGGTGAGTTTGAACTGCTGACCTTGCCATTAGTAGTGCCTAACCCACTGTGCCACTTCAGCTCCAGGGATAAGCATGTGTGTGCACAGACACGTGGCTAATGGACATAGAAAGATCCTAGGCGTGCTTCATTAGAGAACTACAATCACAACCATCATGAATGGAAAAGGCAATAACAAGTGTTGCAGAAACGGGAACAGCACGTATGAGGACAGTATGATGAAAGGGCACATGGGAAGATCGACACACAGGCATTACAAATCCCGTTGCTAGCGATTCTCTTCCACCTCATCCTGACCTGCTCCCTAGGGTTTCAAAGTCTGTAAACCTTGACGGGTATAAATGGCTACATCTTTCTCCCATGGAGCCAGCTTGCTGTTGGGTTTGAATTGGTAACCTTTCCATTAGCAGCCAAATGCTTAACCATTGACCCACCAGACCTGGCTGTAGGCATAGTTGATGTTGCTGCGGCTACTGTGTCAATCCATTTCATCTGGCTCTTCCTCTCTTCCACCAACTCTCTATTTTACAAAGAATGATGCCCTTTTCCAGGGACTGTTAACATGCTTGGAGCACTTGCGACTAAATGCTGTCATCCCTGCTTCCAAGAAGTCTTCTGGCTGTACTTCCTCCAAGACTATTTGCTTGTTCTTCTAGGAGTTCATGGTATTTCAATAAGCTGTTGCCAACACCATAATCCAAACGAATCAATGCTTCCTGTTTTCTTAATACAATCCCATGCAGGAGAGAACATTGAAAACCCCATTGCCTACATCAGGCATACCTTGCTTCTCAAAGTGATAGCTTTGCTTTTAACACTTTAAAGACATTTTGCACAGTAGATTTGCCCAGTGCAATAGGTCATTTGATTTCTCCCCACCCACCCACACACACACATAAAGTCTTTTATTTGTCACCATTAAAAATCTGAATTCTAAACAGATTCTTGAACGGTGGCTCAGAGCCATCAGCTCATCCCACTTTAGCAGCTGCCTCATCTCCAGTAGCTTTCCCAGAACCACCTCCTTCCCCAGGAAGCTCCATGCGTTTTCCCGATTCAAACTTGGGTTTCTTCAGCATTTTCATGTTTCAGACAAACACATCGTGGAGAGGATAAATGGATTGGCAAGCCTTTTCTATGTCTTTCCCAATGCTGTCTGCCATCCATTTATTGACCACTTCTTTCGAGTCTTCTGTCTGCCCCTCTTGGGTCAAGATTTCCATCATTTTCTTTCGGATTTGGCAGACTTGTTGATGCATAAGAGGTCTTCCGAATCTGGTTGTTGTGTTTTGTAGCAAAATCAACACAGAACAGATGAAGCCGATAGCCATGCACTTCAATCACTCCGCCATTGGCTGACCGTGGGGCACGTTTTGTCATGAGTAAGATCCAAGGCAGGCAGTTGGTCAGGCAGTTTTTGCCCTGAACATGCTCAGTGATTAGCTTGAATTTTCTAAATGCAATTTCATTGGTCTGCGATGAACAAAGCTCACTCCAAAACTCGACCCTTGAGGCCATCAGATGAGATTTTGGTTCCCTGAGTCCTGGTGACTTGTTTTTCCAATATTTCTCATATTGAACATAGATGCTGCTTTCACATCATGCATTTACCACTTTCTGATACCAGCCCATTTAGATGGCGAGTAACTAGGACCGATAGACGAATCATGGCCAATGGAGAGAAGGTGGCAGTTGTCAAGGATTCCACTGGACTTGGACCCACACTCTATGCCCAGGGGAGCAGTTAAGAAGTTGAACACCATATTGCTCTGGGAAAATGTGCTGCCAAAACATGTCGATAAGTGTTAAGGGCAAAGATGGCACTCTGAGGAGTAGGGAGGGTGTCCTTGACCAAAGCCATGGCCCTGTTAATTGCTACACACGTATGTGAAAGCCGGATAATGAGCACAAAGACCAAAGAGAGATGGATGCTTTTGCAGTATGACAATGGTAAAGAATGGTTAATAGATCATGAACTGCCAGGATAAAGAACAGCAAAGAACCACTCTGTCTTGGAAGAAGGAGAGCCAGCGTGCTCCATAAGACTTCTCTCGCTTACTTTGGTCATGTCGCCTAGAGGAGCCAGTCCCTGGAGCAGGGAGAGTAGAAGGTCAGCAAACAAAGGGAAAGCCCTTCCGTGAAATGGATCGGCACAGTAGCTACAACAATGACCTCAAACCGAGGGACAATGGCTCAAAGATAGCAACAAGCACGATGCAGGATCCGGGGGTGTTTCCTTCCTCCTGTTGTACGCAGGGCCACCATGAGTCACCACGGATTCAATGACACCTAACAGAAGCATCACATCACCAATGGGGATGTCTGGTTGTGCAACTGCTCGGGAAAAACAGTTCAATTGTTCCTCAAAGTGATAAACACAGAGTTCTCAGGTGAGTCAGCAATTCTACTCCCAGATAAATGCCTAAGGAAATTTAAAAAGATGACGCTCACACAAAAACCTGTACAAGATGTTCCTACGGCCTTCTGCAGGCTGCTGCCAGGTGCAGTGCAGTCACCCCTGACTCACAGAGACCCTGTGTACAGTAGGAGGGAACATCGCCCACACCTGAACCCTCCTCACAACCATCCTTACATCTGAGCCTGTGTTGCAGTCACTGTACCCATCCATCTTGTTATTATATCTAATAGCCCCAAAGTGGAAACCTTCTAGATGTCCATCACCTGATATGTGGTTGTCAAACAAGGTCTAGCCATACACTGGAAAATTACTCCACTACAAAAAGAGGAAGCGCTTATTCTGGGCACAACACAGACAAACTTGAAAGCATCATGCACATACTTTCAAGAAAGAAGCCAGATGCACATTGTGAATGAGGGAAGTGTGGAGTGGGGACCCAAAACCCATCTGTAGGCAACTGGACATCCCTTTACAGAAGGGTCGCGGGGAGGAGACCAGCCAGTCAGGGTGCAGGGTAGCAACGCTGAAACATACAAGTTTCCTCTAGTTCTTAATTGTTCCCCGCCCCCCACTATCAGGATCCAAATTCTACCTTACGAATCTGGCTAGACCAGAGGATGTACACTGGTACAGATAGGAACTGGAAACACAGGGAATCCAGGACAGATGATTCCTTCAGGACCAGTGGTGAGAGTGGCAATACCAGGAGGGTGGAGGCAGGGTGGGGTAGAAAGGGGGAACTGACCACAATGATCTACATATAACCTCCTCCCTGGGTGACGGACAACAGAAAAGTGGGTGAAGGGAGACATCGGAGAGTGTAAGACATGACAAATAATAATAATTTATGGATTGTCAAGAATTCATGAGGGGGCTGGGCAGGGAGGGAGGAGAAAAAACGAGGAGCTGATATCAAAGGCTCAAGTATAAAGCAAAGATGTTGAGCATTATGAGGGCAACAAATGTACAGATGTGCTTCACACATGGATGGATGTATGGATTGTGATAAGAGATGTACGAGCCCCCAATAAAATAATTTTTTAAAAAAAGAAAAAACAAAACTATATTCCACATCAGCCTTTTTAAATATGAAATGTCAAAAAAAGGCACAATTGATAGAAAGCAGATTAGAGGTTGCCTAGGACTGGCGGGTGGGTGGGGGGCACAGGTTTGGGGGAGACGGAGGGTGACAGACATCTCAGGGTGCAGATTTCTTTTTGGAATGAGGACCGTGTGCTCAAGTTGGAGGTGGAGGGTGGCAATGCTGCCCAGCTTTGCGAATGGACTGTAAGCCTACACTCCTGAGTGGTACAAGCCACGTGAGTCAGCTTTACGACAGAGAAGCCCGATCTCACCAACACTGCTTTAAAAAAATAAAAGAGCTAACTCACTATAGAAAAAGTGTTCTTGCCCTCCAGGGAAGGAGGGCATTGTTTCTCACTGGGGTGAAAGATAGAGGGGAGTAGGGGGCACCTTCAGACAGGGGAGCAGGTGCCCCAGGCCACACCTCATTCAGCCCCAGTCAGAGGGCACAGTGCCAGCTGGGCTCATGCTGACACCCCCCCACCTCACGCGGGGAGAGGAAGCCTCTTTCCCCTTCTGCCACTTGAAGGACTGCATGCTCACACCCCCAATGGGCCACAGCAGAGCCACCCTGCGCCCTCCTCCTGCGTCCTGAGCTTCCAGGAGCTGCAGTCTGGCCTGGCTGCCTAGCCCTGCTCTCCGAACGGCTCCTTTCTCCAGCCCCCCTTACTCCCCCCCCCAGCCCCCACCGCCCCGCTTCCTCGGGCCCCTCCCAACACAGCCAGAGCTCCCAGCCCCTGGCTCCTCTCTGCTCTCTGGATCCCAGGATCCTACCATCGATGTAGGCTGGGATCTGCCCAAAGATGGTGAGGTAGGAGTGGTAGACGACCCCTCGGAAGAGCCAGTCCACTCGGCTCTCGTTGTGGATGAGGATGGCCTGCTTGGCTACCCCGAAGGACACGACCCAGACCGCCAACAGGAAGATGAAGAAGAAGACGTCCTTCATCTGCAGAGACGGGTGTCACTGTGGGCTGCCTGAGCACCCGGGGTCCCCTGCACACAACCCCCTACGCACACACACCCAGAGATGCTCCCTGTCCAAGGCGGGGCTCAGCTATGATGGGGAAGCCATTGTCACCGGCAGCAGGTGGCAGTGACCCTCCCGACCACAGGAGGTGTCCCTGACACTCTCTCTGGGCGGAACACTCCACAGGTGTCGGAGGGGTCCTGGCCTAAGGAAGGGAGCTGCAGGCGCGGTCACAGAGGTAGGGACATGGGCTGTAGGCTGTTCGAGGATAGAATCAGAGCAGGCTTCCCAGAGGAGGCGGCACACAAGGAGGGCATTCCTAGTGGGAAGCCTAGCAGCAAAGCCAGGGCCAGGGGAGCCCGGGGGGTACGCCTCGGCTCTGTCCACTCCCCTGGCAGCCCCCAGGGCCCCCTTACCATCCGCTTCACGATGATGATCTTAGGCCCCAGCGTCTTGCTGACGGTGAAGATGTGCATCAGCCGGAGGCATAACATGATGAAGTCCAGGGAGAGGATGACCCGCCCGGTGTACAGCGTGGCGGGAATGAGCCTGGCAGCCCGGGGCACGAGCAGAGACATGCCCTCAGCCTCTGCGCCCCAGGCCGCTGGCAGCAGATGCGAGAGCCTGTAGGCATCCTGAGCTCTGGCCTCCCCATCACCTGCCCAATGTCTTAAAGAGGCATGTGCTGAGCCCCAGTGTTGTAAACGCTGGCGTGAGATTGGTGGGGGGGGGGGGGGGGATGTGTGCAAAAGCTCCAAGGATAGTGCGCTTTTCTTCAGGAAGCTTGACCTTGACCTGGTCCCGACCACTTAACGGTCAGCCATGGGGTCTCAGGCGCCGGTGGCTTACAGGACAGTGGAGTGGCCCCCAGCATCAGCGGGAGGGAAGCAAGGGAGCCATGAGGCCTCCAGGTGCGGAGCCGCCCTGTGGTTAATGTCGGGCAGCTGAGCATCTTCTGCCCTTGCCCCTCCCAGTGGTGCAGGAGTGGGCAGGGAGGAGTCCCTTTATGCTCCCCAGACAGGCCATCAGCAGGGATCAGAGAGGGGCCAGGCGCCCGCGGGCAGCAGGGCTGGGCCTGGCCGAGGAGGCCGGAGAGGGCCATGGGGGCGGGCAGGATGGTCCGAGGCTGCTCACCTGCAGGTCAGGCCTGCTGTGAAGAGCAGGATGGCTCCGACGTCCAGCTTGTTCCAGAAGTCACTGAAGTACAAGTTGGCCGTCTTCAGCAGCCCATAGCCATCGGGGTCGGAGAAGAGCTACGGGGAGCACCGGCAGGTGAGGGGTGGCCTGATGCTTGATGGTCAGGATGACCAGCAGCCACTCCCTCCCCACCCATCCCCAAGGGTCCCCAGTCAGGCCCATCGCCTGCCACCCCCCAAGTCCCATAGGGCCCAGCAGGTGCTTCCTGCGTGAGGGTGAGGTGGGGAGACGCAGAGAGGTGGGGCACAAGCTCTTGGTGAGGCGAGAGACGGGGTGGGCTCCCCCACGTCCCAGTGACTGCATGGGGTCCGCCAGGATGCGGGGTGCCAGGGAGACGGACAGAGTGGGGCGGCACCTGGCGCGCTTCCTCGCACACCAGCGAGAAGAGCCAGCAGTAGATGACACACTCGCACCACGAGGGCGAGGCCTGGAAGTCCACCATCAGCACGTAGGCGAACAGCCCGAGGAAGGTGAAGTAGGAGAGGATGTTGAGTTGGAAGATGACCACGGGCGCCCTGAAGAAGGCGCAGATGCGGGCCAAGCCCTTCTGGGCCTGCAGCCTCTTCGTCCTGCGGGCCAGAGCGAGGGGAGGAGAGGGGGGCGCTTTGGGGACTCTTGATGGGGAGAAGGAGGACCCCAGCCCTGCACGGTCACACGCTATGCCACGCCCTGGGGCACCACTGGGAAGGGAGTGTGGGTCACCACTGTCCAAAGCCACATGGCAGTTAGGTGGAGGGGCCAGGACACAGGCCGGTGACTGTCTCTCCATGTGCAGCAGCTGAGGGGGTGTGGGTCAGGGGACGACTGAGCCCAGCAAGGCATGGAAAATGTGTCCTCATGGGGACCCCCAGAGATGGTCCTCTGACACAGGTTATGGGGTCAGAGTTAGTGCAAACTACCTGTGCAGTCCAGGTATTGGGAATGGGCAATGGCCAGTCTGAAATGCAAGGGGTTCTGGGGAAGTCACATCTCAGGGAAGACCGGGAGGGGCAGGCAGGGGACATGGAGCATTGAGCCAGCACCCTGTGGGCCTTTTGTTGGCTCCACCCTCTATGGTGCCATCTGACCCTGCTTGCTGCTGGTGTTGTCACCAAGTACTCTCCACAGACCCCACACTGGGGTCCCCGCAGGGAAGGGCACTCACCCAGGCTCAGCACAGCACAGGCTGGTCAGAGCATGCACTCGAGAGAGAACCTGCCCCAGACACGTGACCCAGATCTATGCTCCTGGACCGGCGCGCTGAGCCCAGCCCTGTCACCTTTAACAGACACCAGCCCAGGCACCGGGCTGCCACCGCACAGGAAACCAGCCTCCAGCCTCTACACCAGACTCCATCACCACTGTGGCCTTGACCCCTGCAGGGCCAGCTGTCCAGCCCAAGACTGCCCCCTGCCTGCATCACGGTGTTCTCCCACCCAGTGACATGAAAGCTGGACTCTGGAAGCCCAGACCCACAGGTGGTCGGAGGGAAGTCTCCTTCAAGCAGAAGTTGCAGCACCAGTAACAATGAGTGGCCACAGGGGGGCTGGGGACTGGCTCCCCTCTAGCCCCATGACTCAGGTTCTCATTGGTCTCTGGGCTCATGGGCTAGTGGCTGTGTCAGCCACCTAGTGGACATGGTGTCAGGGCATCACCGGCAGCCACTTTCCTCTCCACTTTCGGTGCCTGCATGGGATGGAATGATAACACCGGCCTTCAAGCAGAAATATTTTGAAAATGATGATGGCAACATAGGTATGTACAAATGTGCTTGACACCATGGATGGATGGATTGTGATAAGAGCGGTACGAGCCCCCTTTAAAATCATGTAAAAAGAAAAGAAAATGATGGTGGCAACCTATGTACAAATGTGCTTGATACAATTGGTGTATGGGTTGTTATAAGAGCTGTAAGGGCCCCCAATAAAATGATCTATTAAAATTTTTTAATGTGAAAAAACGAAGAATCCACTCACAAAATAGCAGGCATGGTGCTTGTGCACAGTGGGAGCTTGCGCACAGTGGGAGCTTGGTGCCTGGTGAATGCTTGTGCACAGTGGGAACTTGTGCACAGTGGGGGCTTGGTGCCTGGTGGGTGCTTGTGCACAGTGGGAGCTTGTGCACAGTGGGGGCTTGGTGCCTGGTGGGTGCTTGTGCAGTGTGTGCTTGTGCACAGTGGGAGCTTGTGCACAGTGGGGATTTGGTGCCTGGTGGGTGCTTGTGCACAGTAGGAGCTTGTGCACAGTGGGAGCTTGTGCACAGTGGGGGCTTGGTGCCTGGTGGGTCTTTGTGCATGGTCAGGGCTTGTGCACAGTGGGAGCTTGTGCACAGTAGGGGCTTGGTGCCTGGTGGGTGCTTGTGCAGTGGGTGCTGGGTGTATCACAGATGCTAAGTGCCCAGTAGGTGCACAGTGAAAGCTCAGTGCTCAGCATGCAGAGGACCCATCCTAAGTGTGAGCTCCCTCCCTCCCGGGTCCAGACTCCACGTGTCTGCAGTGCTGTGGATCACTGTGATCAGACAGATCACTGTCAGTGCCCTGTGGATCAAGACCAGCTACCTGTTCCCAGCCAGGGCCCCGCAGCCGCACGCTCCCAGCCCTCCAAAGCCCCAGAGCCCCAGGGCCCAGCAAACACCTGAAGGAGATGAGGCCAGTGAACAGTAGTGGGAACACCACCATGCACAGCATCACCCGCCACGGCCCGTTGTCCACGGAGAGCTGACCCCACCACACCTTGGTCAGGAAGGCCTGCAGATAGACAGAAGCAGCATCAGGAGAGCCCTTTCCTCCCCGGGGCACCCCCACCCAGCACCCCCACACTAGACACCCTACCTTCCAGAGTGGTAGGGACAGCCCCTGGCCAGGCGGAAGCGAGGCCTAGTTTGCCTCAAGAGTTTGCAGTATCAACCGCAGGTAGGGAGACGCGTGTGCTCTGTGCCTGGACACTCACCCAGCTGCAGTCCTCAGTCACAGTGCTCCCTGAGCCCCACCCCAGCCCACCCCGCCAGGCCAGGTGCCCGGCCCGTACACCTGCTAGGGGCTGGGTTCCAATCAGCCAGGATTAGACAGCTCTCCCACAGTGAGTGGGAGAGGCTGGGCTGGCCCGGATTCTCTCTCTCCTGCCTCCACCTGCAGAAGGCAGTCTCTTGAGGCTCACAGCCCAGATCAAAGGGCTCTGAGAGCCCTGTGACATCCCTCGCTGAGCTCTGCAGAGCAGTGGCAGGGGTGCTCCCCAGTACCCAGGGTACTTCACATGGACATGGGCATGACAGGAAGCCATGTTCTCCAGAAGCATCTCTTCCACGGGTGGCACTTGCTATGTGCCAGGCCCTACCATGGTTGCTTGGGCAACACTAGAGCAGCCACCTCCAGGAGTTCCCTGCCCCCGGCTGCTCTGGACATGCCCTGCCCCCTCTTCTCACCACGGGTCACATCTGAGGCTCTGCAGATAGAGTGAGAGTTGGACACACATCAACTACAAGAGGGGAATGGCCACCTGGGTCCCTGAGCTCCTCAGGGAGATCTAGCTGGTGTTTTGAGTGGGAACATCACCCTTTGTGTCCTATCAGACCCCTGGTTTTGCTGGGTTAGCTGGGGAAGGCTCTTCCAGGCCTGGATCAGGTGGCCCATGGGGCCGACCCCAAGCCCCAGATCTGAGAAGCACACTGCATGTGGCTGAGGGGCTGTGTCCCTCCGAAGCACCCGGGGCCTGTCTTGGGAATTAGCCCCCTTGGCCACCTGGACGCCTCCGTGAGACACAAACTTCATGTCCTTGGCTTCAAGAGCAAGCTGCAGGCAGGTGGTCTTCCCCCAGGTCTCAGACACGCGGATGAGCAGCTTCTGGGCCAGCTCCTCGTCCTTCCGGTAGCACTCAGTGAAGACCCCTGGTGGGAGCAGGAGGATGCACATCAGGGCGCCCCTCCCCCCAAGCCCCCGGACAGTGTTGGTGAGGGACGCCTCCAGATGGTACCTCTGCCCAGGGGTAAGTGGGCAAGACCCCCACCAGAAAGGATGAGCCTTATGCCCCACAGCTCCCAGGCCCAGGG